GGACGGGGCTCGCCTCTGCTTAAAGACCGAGTCCCCCGTTAGGAGAGCAGACCCGCTGCCTTCCGCAGGACCCAGCAGGCCGCTGCCCTGGGCGGCCGCCTCCCTACGGGCACCGGCACACGCTCGGCCCTCTGCTTCCCAAGGCAAGGACCGGAACGCAAACCCGATCCAACGGCCTCCGGTGCTTCAGGAAGCCACCTCCGTCCGAGTCAGCCCATCACGTCCGTACACTTGTACCAGAGCCTTCGGGAGATTCCCGACAGCGCTGTTAGGAGATGAAGTGAGTCTGTGGGGTGATTTGTTCCAACTTGTGATCAGCTGGGTTTGCCGACGCTTCATAATTGCAGATGGTGACTTCGTGGCGATGAGCCTGAATTAAGATTAAACGCGTTAGTCCAGAGAGCAGAATTCAAGTCCCTCCTAAAACACCTGACTGGCGAGAGCTGAGCAGGTTCCCATCTTACAGACTTTTCATCGCAGACCTTCCACCCCCACCCCCACACTACCCTCACCTTCTTCCTCACCGCTAGAGCTCAACTTAAGCTACGATTTAAAGGCCTTTTTACACTATTAGCACAGTCTTGCTCATCTCTGCTCTCACCCACCTCCGTCCACTCTCCTTTCAGGCCTATATAAAAAATCTTCGTTGTCTCCGCTCCAAAGTTCTTCGGAAAGTGGATGGAGAGGTGGCAAACATTGGAGAAACGGGCAATTCTGAAAGAAAACACACTCTGAAACCGGAGCTGTGCGTACAAGCTGCCACTCTGCTTGCCTTGCCGCCTCCTCTCAGCACGGCGCCGTGGCCCTGCACCGTGTGTAGCTCCTACCCTAATCCAAGTCAGACTTGGGAGCCAAATGAGCGAGGGTGCAGGAGGAGCAGCCTCCCTCTCGCTTGCGGTGAACGGGCCAGCAACAAGCTGTCACTGGGGCCAGGAGCAGGGGACACGACACTGGGATGATCCTGCACCCCGAGAAGTCCCAGGCCGTGGGCGCAGGCACCCCCCCCCTGCTCCGGGGAGGAGGTTTTCAGACCAGAGCTCTCACCCGACGAGGGCAAGGACGGAGCCGGGGAGGCAAATTCTACCGTGGGCAGCTTTGAGATGCAAGGGAAGGAACTGCCCTCTGCTAACACCTTCCTAAAATTTGGCGGCACACCAGCAGGCTGGATAGAGCGCAGCTCCTGTGCTCGGGAGGAGCAGCCCCCCCGCACCCCCCGGGCGCTCGGGTCTGCATCGTACTTGGTGGGGTACTCCAGCTCGCCCGCCGGATCCCGGTTCAGGCTGAAGGTCTGGTCGGGTTCCCTGGCTGCGTCATCAAAGGACATGTGAGGAATGTTCTTGAACCTGGGAAGAGAGGGAGGAAACCCAGGAAGTTATTAACACACAGGTCAGCTAATTGGTTTCCTCCCCATCCATTAGCGCTACCCGGATTCTTCTCAGCAAGAAGAAACTGGATTTGCTTTGTCTTCTAAGGGAGAGAATACCAACGCCACCACAAAGCATCATCATGTTCCAGAATACCCAACACCCTGAAGAAGTAACAAGGAAGAGTGAGGAACAAAGCTGGGGAGATACAGATCTCGGCACGCTTGGGTACGTGAAGAAACCCAGACCCTACTACACTGGAGACCAAGGAAAACGGGGGCTCGATAAAGGCGCGTTTCTTTCCCCGCAAGCAAGAACTGCAGAGTACTCAATACTTTTTCATTTAAAAAAAAAAAAAAAGGTAGTATTAAGAAGGATCTCTCTCCCTTCAGGAGCTAAAACAGGCCACGTGGCTCAGCGCAGCCGGACCGCTGCCAAGAGCCTCGCAAACCTCACCTGGCAGCAGGACACTCCCTCACTTGTGTCCCTCCCTCCCAGGCCTCAGAGTTCCCCCCCCCAAAGCGTAACCCCTCTTGGCCCACTGATCCTTCTGCGGCCCGCTAAGCCAGCAGCAGGTTGGTTTCTTCGCAGCACAGCCAGCGTCTCAACCGAACGTCCTCTTCGAATTAAAAATCAGCGCCCCGTTTCTCTAGAGAGAAGGCAGCAAGTAGCCACGCTCGTCTCCGTAGATGTTAACGGTTTCCTTTTCCTCCCGGGGCCCTGGGATGACCGAGGTGCTGCACAGTGACACTGCTTTCCCCTGCACTGCGCACCCTCGCCGGGTGCTCGGGCGCCCAACCGCGCGAGAATCGCTGCTGCGAGACGATCAGTCCAGTTTAGGCTCCAGCGAAGTGAACGCTCATTTTACTTACAGTCGCATCTCTGCTGGATGCGTACCGTCATCTTCTCCCATCACAATTACTCCTTTTAGCTTCACGTTGCCCGTAAACCTGCCGAGAGACGCAGAAGCGGCGTTTTCATCTCCGCTCTCCCCACACCAGCCCCGGTTACAGCAGCACGCAGACGTGCCTCATCCCCAGGGACACAGGGGCGAGGAACAAGCCCTGCCGGCAGCCAAAGCGATGCCGAAGGAGGTCAGGGAAAGAACTTACGGGATATTAAAGAGAAGCTCCTCATCGTCGTCGCTTTCGACGAACTGGGGAGAGAGGGGAGCAGGTCAGGGCTGGCCCCGGCCGCGCAGGTAGGCGGGTGTCGCACCGGGGGCTGGGGGAACACGGACCGGCGGGGCGGGTAACCTCGGAGGGGCTCAGGGGCAAGGCTGG